TTCCGAGTATATTGTCGTGCACATATCGCACCAAACTTAGGAACATGTTTTCACTTGCTGAGTCCCCAGCACCAGATTGGGTTAAGCATTGCTTTTGTGAGCGTTGCGCTCTTTGTCAAGAATACAGGGAGCTCCGACAAAGAGGTTGGGATCCAGCGATTGGTAAGAGCCATAAAAAAAAAAAAAAAAACATTTGTAGTTTGCGTGCAGCATGAAGATAATTAACCTGCGAAAAAAAAAATGTAGAAATATTTATGCAACGACTTAAATATCATTAATGAATAAATATATATAGCTGATTTATTAAATATATTTAAATAATTTTATAAGTTTTCTTGCATTTTTTTTCTTACCGATTGACCTAAAAAATACTTTAATGATAAGTAAAGATCCATTTCTATACAAGTTTTAAACATTACATTTACACAAAATTTTAATTATTTATTTTTTTACTTTTAATATATAGTTGAGATTTTTTCATATTTATTAAAAATAATTATTTTTTATTTTAATGATTAAAAATAAAAAAAATAAATGATTAAAATTTTATATAAGTATCACTTATAAAATTTATAAATAGGTTTCTTCTCATGAATAAAAATCTTATACCTGAAGACTTTTTTTTTTTTTTTTTTTTGGGTGAAGGTTGGCATGGAAACCTAAACCAGCAAGCTGCCATGACGCCGCCAATGAATCAAACAATGACGGCTTGATTATGAGGAAATTATCAATTCCCATATGTGCTCTGCCTATAATATTTTCTTGATACATTTGATGATGGTTATGTAAAAGGGAGTAATTCTCTTCTTTTTTTTAAATCTCTTTTCATCCAACTTAAAGTTAGAATTTAAAATTTTTAACTTGAAATTTTAGATTTTTAATTAGTTAAACTATTCTTTAGAGTTAATCTACTTATAATATATTTTTGTGCTATTTCACTCTTTAGGAAATAGAGTCTCAATCCTGCTATTTAATTTTAAGTATCAGCATATTTATGACTCAGATGAGCTCCTGCAATTGTTGTTTTTTATGAAGGAAATGTTGTTTGTGTCATAACGTAATTTTACAAGAAATTCCATGTTTGCATCAGCGAATAGTGTATGTTTGTTTATGTATGCATACAAAAATGATAATCAAGCAAACTTAGAGGCGTTTGACAGATTTTATTTTTCAATTAATTTGATTATAACAATTTTTTCTTACTTAATAACTTTGAAAATTTTTTTAGAGGAAAATGTTGCTTTCAAATAAAGTGAGGAAAAAGAGAAAATCAAGACACTTTAATATTAAAAATGTCAATACATCTAATCACAATCATTAAATATATAAAACATAATATAAACTTTAATTTTATCAAATTCATCATGTGGTTATCATTTGACGTAATGATATTTTTAATGCTAAGAAGTATTGATTTGCTCTTTTCTGTATAAGTAACAAGTTTTGAAGAAAGTAACTAGCACCATGGCACAAAAGCAATGCCTCCCTTCGATTGTTTAGTTCTCCAAGAATTGGATGTGGTTATGATCACCAATTTATTTGTCAAGACTATTAAAATTGAATTTAATTTGATTGATATTTATATTATTATTTTTAAATAGATAGTTATTTATGATATCTAAAAATAATTTTATAAATTGATTTTAATTTATTTTTTATTTTTATGATTTGTTGTTGTACAATCAAAGGCAACTTCTTCCGACCCTTAATCCACTTTACTTATATGTCATATAACTCAAACTCAAGGTGTATTACTTTTACAAGAAGGAAATTATCATTTAGTTACTTAAATTGTTGGCAATTTTAATTTATTAAATAATAAATATCAATTATTCTATCAATTATTAACCATTCTTAACAATTAAATCAATTAAATTAATAATTTTAACACAATTTTAATTACTTTAATAAATAAATTGGTGGCCATAACTATACTCCCAAGAATCCACCTTGCCTTTGTCCTCCATTGTTAATTGCTAAAATGCCTCAAACTAACGTTAAAAGAAAGGTATACCCATATCAAAAGAAGAGTATAATTTATAAGACTTAGTATTACTAACAACTTAAATTTTTTAGGGTTAAGGGCATGTACCTACTGATTGAAAAAATAATAGGCCGTGTCCCTTTACATGGGCATCAATTGTTCAAACTTAAATATTTTAATAAAAAATAAAATAATATATTTTATAAATTAAATTTATTATTCAATTAAGGATTTAATCAAACTAGCCGTAATAAGTTAATTATCCTATTTAAGAGCACATTATTTTATAATAATATCCCAATTTATTTCTATCATTAACCTACAAATGAGAGTTATGGGAGTTATAAGATCATAAGTCTTATAAATAGGATATGTCTATTTGCTCAACAAAGAAGAGTTCCTACACATTCCTTTATCACTACAAGAAAATCCACATTTAGTGACTAAATTATTGATTATTAAATCTTTATTTTTCATCACAAATTATTATTAGTGATAAAATTTAAACCGTTAGTAAAACCCTTGTCACTAATGCTTTTAATGACAAATTAAGCACCTGTCACCAAAAATAATTTTATAGTGATAGAAAAAATTGATATTGTTAACAAGTTATTTATAACAATTTTATTTGTCATAAAAAAAATATTCGTCACAAATGCATTTATGATGCAAAATTTAGTCATTAATTATTAAAATTGATATTAAATAAAAAAGATATTTATATAATTACAACACAAATATTTTAACAAAAATTTTGTCACAAAAAAATAATATATAAATTTATCACAAAAGTTTAATAAAAAATATTATTATTTCAATATTAATCAATTTTGATTAAAATTAATCAAGCCAAACCCAATTAAAATTAATTAAGCCCGATTAAAATTAATTAGGCCCAAACTAATCTCAAGTTTTATTGAGTTTTACATGTTTTATAATGCAAAAATTTATTTTCTTAAATATTTCTTATCGATGTGGGATATATTTATAGTGTAAAACCTTATTCTCTTATGTGTTTTTTATCGATATGAGATGCATTAATTAGAGAAAATTGACAGTTTTTAGTGACGAAATAGATTTTTTAGTGATAAATTATTTGGTCATCATTGAATGTGTAGGGTATATGTGACTAATATTAGAAATTTGTCATAATTGTAATGCATTATAGTGATGATTTTTTATTGACAAAAGCTTATTTTATCTCTATGAACATTTTTCGGTGACAAAATATATTTTTTATGATGAATTTTTTTGTTCATCATTAAATATGTATGCATCTATAACTAATCTTTTAGATCTATCACAATTTTAATAAGTTATAGTGATAATTTTAAAATTCATCACAAATTTCTGTTATTAAAAATCATTTTTCTTGTGGTGATCGGATGCAATAATTATGACCAAACAAATAATTACTAATATCTGATAAAATATTATAAATATATAATTTAAATATTAAAATAATCAATAATTATAATTGTTAATTGGATTGTTATTATTTTTAGCTAATAAAATTGCCTTAATAATCTAAAACGAGGGACATTTGGCGGGGTCCCTTGTGTTGGCTTCTGGTTCAAATTTTATTTTGACTTTTACTTCTGATTTTTGAAAATGCGGATGTGGTGTGAACTGAACCAAGGTGGTGAGAGGATACGCGCGCATGGCTTGTTGTCTTGGGACCGGAGCGGCCAAACCCGCTTTTGTTTGGTTGGTAAAGCGTGAAAGGAGGGCTCTTGCTCAGCTCAGAGCTGTTTTTCCACACGTCTCTGAGGGTTCTTATATTTGATAAGGATTAATATACAAAGTGTTGGTAGAAAAATTGTTAAATGAGTTTTAGACAAAAAAAAGTTTAGAAAAATTTTTTCTTTTTCAAAGAGTGTGGGAGTAAAATTTTATAAGTTAAAAATTGTGTTAAAGAAAGTAAAAATTAAAAATGTTACTTTTATCTTTATTTTATTATAAATTAATATATAAAAATATGTAAATAATTTTATGAAGAAAAAAATTTTGAAATATTTAAGAGAAAATATTTCGGTCAACCAAACATCTCCTAAGATTTCAGTCTCCATGTTAAAACATAGGAAATTACCTTTTCATTCGTTTCTTGCAAAATCAAAACTTAGCACTATTGGTAGAACATTCTGATTTTTTGCATTCATGGTCAACAGTAAGTACTACTATTTCCACCACAAAATCACCAATAAAGTGGAGAATGTAATAAATGAGATAGAGATTTGCAGAGTAAAGAAAGCAATTCCATTTAATAGCATTATCATACAACTGCTGATAGCGGATTACAAAGAGATTACAAAAGGCATCCTTATTATATTTCACAGGAACTTAACCCAGCCATCCCACCCAGAAGAAGGGTACAAACTCAAAACCTTATTTCATTGATTCTTCTTCTTATTATATACTTAACCCTAAATTTTTACACTTGTTTTGTTCTTCCTTCTTCTCCTTTATTCTCCCTTGGAATCCTTTCTATTCTTAGATCAAAAACAGCCAAGATACTACTAGAATCAGTTTATAAAGCAGGAAACAACCCCTGTTTTCCTCTTTTTTTTTTGGAAATTTCTAATATGACCATTCTTGAGGTAGACCTAGATCTTGGTGGTTGATGGCCGGCGCCGTCCGTAAGTGACGTTTCTGCTGCGAGGAAATGCTGTTACTCCCACCCACATGGGCATCTGCAGACAGTAATCAAGACAAAAAAACATCTTTCGTGAGAAACAAACAGAATCATAAGTAAACAGAAAAACAGAGTAAGAACAGAGAAATCTAGATTTACCCTGTTGTTGCAGAGGAAACTCAGTGCTTAATCTTGGTGGAACTCCCATTTTC